CTGGTTCTGGTTCTGGTTCTGGTCGTTCTTCAGTTTGAAGGTAAAGATCTCTTTTCTTTCACATGAAGATGAGAAAAATTAAAGATTCTTTGGTTTATTTCTGTATTTTACAACAAGTTGTGTATTAGTTAATCAGGTTTGGACCAAATATATAGAAACGTTTTCAAGGATTAAAATGCTAATAACTGTTATAAACATCAACAATAGCTTCTTGAAATGATGTGAATAAAATGTTATAATAATAAATCAAACATTATGTAGCATAAATAAATAACTACACAATTTTAATTTCTCCTTCATGATTGTATTTGTGAATGTTGAAATGTGTAAAACTTTAATGTGTTTTTGTTTCTGCTGCAGGAACCAGAGGAGAAGAACTTCATCTCTATCACAGAGAAGAAGAAAATGTTGTTCTACCTTGTAACAGTCCTTCATCGTTTTCCTCCTGCTCTGATGTTAAATGGTTTTACAAAAGAGGTAAAAACCCAAATACTCAGGAGGAGGTTTGGAACGGAACAGATGTTCAGAGTTCATTTGAAGCTTACAGGTTAAATGTGGACAGCAGCTGCTCTCTGACCATCAACTACATCCATCCTGATGATGCTGGACTCTACATCTGTAGATCTGATCCCTCCTCAGATGGTTTTGTGTATCTGAATGTTTTATCCAGTGAGTATTTAGACCTGAATGATTTAACTCTCAGTCTCTTTCCTTCTGATCTACTTGGTGAAATGTTGGACAGATGTTTCTGACATCATCAGTTCTGATTTCCTTTTTCTCTGAACCTTGAACTTCTTTGGACTTTAACATGAGGGAACCTCTCAGTGACCTGATGCAGTCAGAAGGTCACATGTTGTTCAGTCAGAGAGAAACGATCATTTATTTAGATTCAGGCAGACATTACCCATCAGGCCTCACACCTGGTTTAACTTTTCAGTCAAATACTTTATATTGAAGATGTAAATTCATTTAGTTAAAGATGTTATATCTACTAATGATCAAATTAAACTCTCAGTGCCGTTTCTATATTTTATTTCTGCACTTTGTGATGTTTCTGCTACTTCCTGTCTGATCTGGGGGCGGGGCCAAGCTGTGATGACGTCAGGAAGTCGCTCATCAGAGTGAACGTTGTGCTGAGGATGTTTAGATTTAATCAGTTTGTCTCTTATGGTGGATCAACGTTTGATCAAACTACTGAATCATTTACTTTAAAGATTTCTTGTTTTTTTTCCATCATGATGATGAAAACCTGCTGAGATCTGCAATATTAGTTCAGATCAATCATTAAGTGACATGAAGACAAAATCTAAAGTTTTATCAAAATGTTCTTATTTATTTATTTTATATTTTACTGTCTGCAGCCTGAGACACTTAACCTTTGATAATTGATTTAATTAGATTAATTAATTTAATGCTTAACCTTAACAAAGGATTACGTTTTAAGAAAAATGTTAAAGCTTCTCTCATCTTTCAGGCTTTGACAACATTTTTCATGTTTCTTTCAGTTTCATATGAAACTTCAACAAACGATTATTTCACATTGCGCTGCTCTCTGGAGAGATTCAGTGGGTTGGATCTTTGTCCAGAGAAAAGTTTCCGCTGGTTGGATGAAACAGGAGCTGAACTGACTGAAGGTGTTTGGGTCGAGTCAAGAGGACCAAGAATCTGTGATTCCTCTCTACCTGTGAAGCATCAGAGCGACAGAAACAGAAACTTCACCTGCCAGTTTGTTGAAGGAAACAGAGTGAAGGTTGAAACTCACTACCAACACAAACCTACATGTATGTTGCCTTTCGTCCACTGAGGAAATGAGAAAACAGCAGGAATTAGTCGACCTTTGTGGATTTTTTAATTTTCTGTTTAAAAGTCTAAGTTATTCATCTGAAATAAAAATGTTTTGATTTTTAAGTCAGACAAATAATTTTCAAAACATTTTTATTGTCTCCTGTAGTTTAAATCACTGAAACAACATTTATGAAAGAAAGAGGAGAAATTTATCACTACAGGATTAAATCCAGTGTTTTACATGAAGTGGTTCTAAGAGGGATTTATGTACATAATAATATGAACATGTCAAAGCAAAGAGAGATAATTAAGATATTTAATATTTGGGGTTTTTCCTTCACTTACTTTTGAATCATTAGGCATAAATAATAGTCAGAACTTATGCAAATTTGTTTTACTGTGTTATTGTTAGACTTTTTTTGTTTTCAAATTATTTTGTAATTCTTTTTCCAAAACTGCTGAACAACAGATTTTGTTATGACTAGTGGTTTATTGGGACACAAAATAGTTAAACTGTGAATAAATAGTTTTGTTTATGCAGTTGGAAGAGAAAAATCTGGTTTCAATTATTGAGCCCTGATACATTTCTTTATTAAAATATTATTGTAAAAAATGCAATTCACATTTTTCTTTGTCTTTATACAGCTGCATCNTTGAAGGTAAAGATCTCTTTTCTTTCACATGAAGATGAGAAAAATTAAAGATTCTTTGGTTTATTTCTGTATTTTACAACAAGTTGTGTATTAGTTAATCAGGTTTGGACCAAATATATAGAAACGTTTTCAAGGATTAAAATGCTAATAACTGTTATAAACATCAACAATAGCTTCTTGAAATGATGTGAATAAAATGTTATAATAATAAATCAAACATTATGTAGCATAAATAAATAACTACACAATTTTAATTTCTCCTTCATGATTGTATTTGTGAATGTTGAAATGTGTAAAACTTTAATGTGTCTTTGTTTCTGCTGCAGGAACCAGAGGAGAAGAACTTCATCTCTATCATAGAGAGAGAGAAAATGTTGTTCTACCTTGTAACTGTCCTTCATCATTTTCCTCCTGCTCTGATGTTAAATGGTTTTACAAAAGAGGTAAAAACCCAAATACTCAGCAGGAGGTTTGGAATGGAACAGATGTTCAGAGTTCATCTCGAGCTCACAGGTTAAATGTGAGCAGCAGCTGCTCTCTGACCATCAACTACATCCGTCCGAACGATGCTGGACTCTACACCTGTAGATCTGGATCCTCCTCAGATGGTTTTGTGTATCTGAATGTTTTATCCAGTGAGTATTTAGACCTGAATGATTTAACTCTGTTACCTGTCATCATCTGCTGTGTTCCTCCTACTTCCTGTCTGATCTGGGGGCGGGGCCAAGCTGTGATGACGTCAGGAAGTCGCTCATCAGAGTGAACGTTGTGCTGAGGATGTTTAGATTTAATCAGTTTGTCTCTTATGGTGGATCAACGTTTGATCAAACTACTGAATCATTTACTTTAAAGATTTCCTGTTTTTTTTTCCATCATGATGATGAAAACCTGCTGAGATCTATAATAATAATAATCATTAGTAAAGACATGATAACATTTATCAAATTATTTACTGTTTTTTTATATTCTACAGTCTGCAGCCTGAGACACTTAACCTTTGATAATTGATTTAATTAGATTAATTAATTTAATGCTTAACCTTAACAAAGGATTACGTTTTAAGAAAGATGTTAAAGTTTCATCTTTCAGGCTTTGACAACATTTTTCATGTTTCTTTCAGTTTCATATGAAACTTCAACAAACGATTATTTCACATTGCGCTGCTCTCTGGAGAGATTCAGTGGGTTGGATCTTTGTCCAGAGAAAAGTTTCCGCTGGTTGGATGAAACAGGAACTGAACTGACTGAAGGTGTTTGGGTCGAGTCAAGAGGACCAAGAATCTGTGATTCCTCTCTACCTGTGAAGCATCAGAGCGACAGAAACAGAAACTTCACCTGCCAGTTTGTTGAAGGAAAGAGAGTGAAGGTTGAAACTCACTACCAACACAAACCTACATGTATGTTGCCTTTCGTCCACTGAGGAAATGAGAAAACAGCAGGA